ATAAAAGAGACAAGAAAAAGCTTTTACAGTGGAGGGGAAGAGAGCAGAGGTAAGTGGGAGTAAGTGAATCTTATTCTTATCAGAATTGGAAGGAGTAACTGTTTATAGGCTCAGAAGATCAACTATATAAGTATAAGATGGGAGAAATATGTTTAGACAATAGTCTATGTGAATGAAAAACTGCAACAGCAATGGCAATATGAAAGTTTTAGTAAGCTATAAGCTTAGTATGAGTCAACAGTTTTGTCTAAAAGCCAAGAAAGGCTAATGGGATATTGGTTTTATTAATAGGATCCTGGTATCCAGAATGAAGATGATAGTGCCTCTATACTCTGCCCTGGTCAAATAATATCCTGAATATTTGTTGCCTTCAGTTTGGGACACCACATTTTAGAAAACTGATCAATCAATAATTATTTATTAAATACAGGCAGTTAGATGATACAGTGGTTAGAGTGCTAGGCCTGAAGTCAGGAAGAGTGGAATTCAAATCTGGCTTCAGACACTTACTAGCTGTGTGACCCTGGGCAAATCACTTAACCTCTGTCTGCCTCATTTTCTTATCTGTAAAATAGGGATAATAATAACATGTACCCCCACAGTGTTGTTGTGATAATCAAACAAGATAATAATTGTAAAGCCCTTAGCACAGTGCCTGGCACATGGTAAATGCCATATAAATGTTAGCTGCCACTACTACTATTACTACTTAACCTCTTTCTGTTTAGTTTCCTCAACTGTAAAATACATAGGATAATAGCACCCCTCCTAGTGTTTAGTCATTAGGACCAAATGAGATGATATTTGTAAAAGATGTAGTACAGGGCCTGGAACAGAGTAGGCACTTAATAAACACTTGTTTCTTTCCTCCATTCCTATGTATTCTGTACCAGGCACTGTGTCAAGTGGGGCAGGTAGGTGTTGCAGTGGATAGAACACCAGGTCTGCTGTCAGGAAAAACTCCTTTTTCTAAGTTCAAATCTGGCCTCAGATACTAGCTGTGTGACCTTGGGCAAGTCACTTAACCCTATAAAATAAGTTGGAGAAGGAAATGGCAAACCACTCCAGTATCTTTGCCAAGAAAACCTCAAATGTAACATTATGACATAGAGATGATTCTGGGTTCTCAAAGTCTATTTTGACAGAGTATAAACTTTTGCAAGCTCTATGGTTGAAAAATATCAAGTACAGATCTGGCAATAGACTCAATCTGCTGTTTGAGGACCAACCTACCCATGTACAGGAAAGATAATTTCCAGTAGGTTGGCTGCTAGCTGATGAGTCCTTTGTTGACGTCAGTTCATGAAACAAAGAAAAAATAAAAATAGTCCTTGTTAAATGTGCATACACCAAACGCATAGGCAAATTTATCTCTATTTGTAAATGATACTGTAGTTTACTTAGAGATTCTCCAAAATTCAACAGAGAATTGGACACGATGGAAATAACCGAACAACAACACTGTGCTAGGTGCTAGGGTTGTGATTCAGTCCCTTCAAAGAGCTCAGCTGGAGAACACCCATGTATGGGGGTGTTGGGGTAAGGAGACCAGAGCTTTGGTTTGGGCAGTCACAGGAGTTGTTAGTTTAGCCAAAGGGCAATAGATTGTCAAGTCATTTCCAGTAATAACGGCAATGATGATTTGATTTTTGTTTATTATTGAGGAAGGAAGGTGTGCACATAGTTATAAGGCAGATAAACAGATATCTGTGCTTGTGAGGCTCTGGTGTCCTAATAGATGGCTGGATGGGACACTGATATTGGCAACCTAGAGCATATCCAGAGGGGAATGAATAGGATCATGAGAGGGGCCTTCATTTCATGACATATGAAGATCAGTTAAAGAAACTGGATATGATAGCTGTCTTGAAGCATTAGAAGGACTGTCATATAGAAGAGGTATTAAACTTATTTTAATTGACACCAGAAGACAGAACCAAGCACAATGGTTAGAAGTTTAAGAGAGGCCAAATTTGGCTCAATGTAAGGAAAAAATCTCCTAAATAGTTAGAGCTTTTGAAAATGTAATGAGCAGTGGTGAGTTCCTCGTCATTGGAAGTCTTCAATCAGAGGCTGAATGACTACTTGTTAGTGATATTGTAGCTGGCCAGGTGTGGAGACTAGAAACACCAGAGGTTCCTTAAAATTCTGTGTATATGAGAAAGAGAAAGACAGACAGACAGACACAGAGAGACAGAGAGAGACTAACAGACACACAAAGAGGCAGAAACAGAGCGACAGGCGAAGACAGAAGCCAAACAGATTGACAGAGAGAAACAGAAAGACAGAGACAGAGACAGAGACATTGCCGACAGAGATAGTAAGACAGAGACAGAGACATTGCCGACAGAGATAGTAAGACAGAGACACAGAGAAAGAGAAAGAAAGAGACAAGAAGACAGGCAGAGACAGAAGCTGAAACAGTGATAGAGACATAATTGACAGTGGCAGAAACACAGAGAAAGGGACAGAAACAGAGACAGAGAGACAGACAGAGAGAAACAGAGAGAGAGACAAAAAGATAGAAATGGAGACAGAGAGACTCATGCTCTGGGAATTAATAGACAGAAAGCATTGAATAAACCCCACATTTTGTTTACATCTGGAGAAAAATATTTTTTCTTAAATGGAAGAGATGAAGAAAACAATTTAGCATATATTTTTTGTCCTTCATTAAAGTGATACCACTAATTGATGATTTGCAATTGTAGGGATGGATGGATTTGGTCTTTGTGTCCAAACTACATTGTTCTGTTACTTCACACAGTGCTTGATATAGTAAGTGCTTAATAAATGCTTCTTTCCTTCCTGTCACTGATGACAACCCTGCTATAACTTATTATTATTCGTATAGCTCTGGCTTCTTCACTAAGGTCCTATGTGTGGTGTGGGAAGTGATCCTGGATTCTTGAAGGCTGATATAAGCATAGTGAGGACCCCAACAGCCTTGGCAACACTTGAAAGCTCAGAATGAACCCTAACAGTATGAAACCAATTTGTTAGCTACAATAGAAGTATCCTTTTGACACTTCTTCAATCAGGGGATATTTATAGTTATCAGATGTATGTATGGTATGTGTGTGTATATATATATATATATATATATATATATATATATATATATATATAATATAATGTATGTGTGTATTTGTTATACACAGAGACTGATAGAGAGAAAGAAACAGAAGCAGAGAGAAACAGAAAGACAAAGAAACATGCTCTGGAAATCCATAGACAGAAAACACTGAATAAACGCAATATATCATTTATATCTGGAAACAATTTTTTTTTCTTAAATGGGAGAGACAAACATATGCATATATACACACATGTACCATACACAAACACACATATATTTGTGTGTGTGTGTGTATATATGTGTGTGTGTGTGTATACGATACAGCATGGCATTTATATACAATGCTTATTTTGGCTGTCTTCTAAGTGCAGGAGTTACCTCCTTACAGAAGACTTTAATTATTCATATGTGTCTAGCTATGTTTACACCCATGACTTATACCATGTATTTTTGAGGCTATTTGTCAGGATGAAAGGTCCAGTCTGCGGCCCAACAACTAGTCTTCCTGGAACTGAATTCACTACCTTGGCCTTATTAACACCATGCTTTAAGCAACTGACCACCAGGAATAACAGAGTGAATGTGAGAGATACTGAACTTTAATGATCGAGATCATTTTTTTACTGGGATTTTAAAGACACATCAATCCTGCTTATAAAATATACATAAGCAGCCCTGGTAGCAGAGAAAACAGTCAGATCCATCACTGATACAGTTTCGCTCACAAAGCTTTCAGAGCAGGTAAACATGTGTATGCCTTTGCACCAAGAGGTACTAATATTTCATCAAGGCTTTAAAAAATATATGATTTTAAAATTTTGTTTAAAGGGTCATTTACAATACATGGCAGAAAGTCAAGGGGGGAAACCTTTAAACTTCTTTTTATTTTTTCAGTCAAGTATAGAAGCTTCATGAATGTTGCTAAAGACTTTTCAGTTAATGTGGAATATGTTTAATATGATTATACATGTATAGCCTATATCAGATTGTTCGCCACCTTGGGGAAGGGGAAGAGGAGGGAAGAAGGGAGGAAAAAAATTTGGAACTCAAAATCTTATAAAAGTGAATGTTGAAAACTTAAAAAAAAAAAGACTTTTTAGTTCATTGCTGATAATGCCACACCAGTCATTTGTATTCTGTGGGTATCTTTAGGGACTGGCTTTAAATTGTACTTGCACGTGAACAAGGTTGCACCAAGATATGGGGCCCTTGGCTGATGTTCTAATAATGACTGATTGCTTTTCCCAGCAATTTGGGCACGGAGACAATCTTTTCAGGTTGCAATAGCAGTTATGTACTCCACTAGTCTTCAAACTCATCAAAGTCTTAGGTAGGATCTCTCTGTGGAGCTAACAGGAAAACCAGAACTAGAAATGATGACCCTGGGACAAGTAAGAGGACAGATTCATCAATAGTGTTGTGTCCTGGACAAGTATAGAGAAGAAAGTATCCAGACCACTGACATTGCTGCCACAAGAATAAACAGAGGAGAAAACATCTCTAGGATGAGGCTGTCTGCACCTTTTAAATTTCTTACCCTGGGGCAAAGCCCCATTCATCCCATTGAGTCATGGCTTTACCAAACAGGCAAGTCCCACAAATATTTTTCTTTTCTTTTAAAATTTTTTTGATATCTTTTGTTTTTATATTGCCTTCATTTCCAAATATATCCCTCCCTTCTTTCCTACCGAGAGAACCATCCCCTATAACAAAGAATTTAAAAAAAGAGGAAAAAAAGCACTTCATTCTTCAAAGCCAGCCATGGTCATTATAGGTATATATACCTATATACTTTTTTCCCCCTTTATTTCTATTTACATTATTATAATCATTGTACATACTAGGGTCATAGATAGGGGCTAGAAGGACCTTAAATTAAATTAAATCAGAAGTAATTTAATACAACCCTTTCCTGTTTCAGATCAGAAAACTAGGGCAACATGATATTATGAAGAGGGTATTGAACTTGGAGCCAAGAAGACCTGGGTTCAAATCCCACCTGAAATACTAGCTGTGTGACCATGGGCAAGTGAGTTAACCTCTTTGTACCTCAGTTTCCTCAAATGAAGGGGTTGAATTATGGGGGCTTCAAGGTCCCTTTCAGTTCAAAATCTAGATTCTAGGATCCTGTGATGATCCTATAAGGCCTCCTCTGAATCAGTTCATGTAAATCTTCCCTGTTTCTCTACATTCTTTAGTTTAATTTTTTAGCAGTCCAGTAATATTCCATTTCTATTCTTGAACCACATCTTGTTCAGCCATTCTCCAACTGAAGGACATCTCTTTTGCTTCTGGTTCTTTGTTATCACAAAATATTTGAATGTACATGACACCTCTCTGACTTTTATCTCCCTAGAGCCACAAATAGTTTTCAAAAACATTATTCAACATTTCTATTGGATCCACAAAAATATGCATTGACCTCATTGGCATTCCCTACTTCCCTTTCCGACCCTTTCTGTTAGCTATAGTTTAATCCTTATCTGGCCGGGTCTAGAAAACGTGTGTCAGCCTGGAAGAAACACACTTTAATTTTTCCCATGGACAAAACCCCATGAAAAAACCATGAAAGCAAAGATCTGGAAATCAAAGGAGTTCCCTTCAATTAAGTAATAGCTGAACAAATTATGGTATACAAATGTAATGGAATGTCACAAGAAATCATGAAAGGGATGGGTTCAGAGAAACTGAGAAAGACTTGTATGAATTGATGCAGAGTGAAGTGAATGGAACCAGGAGAATTTATGCAATAACAACATTGGTAAGACAATGCAATGAATAAACACAGTTCCACAGAACTGATGATAAGCTGTGCTACCCACCTCCTGACAGAGAGTTGATGGATTCAGGATGCAGAATGAGATGTGCATTGTTGGACACTGATAGTGTAGGGATTTGTTTTACTTGACTATGCATATTGTTACACATGTTCTTTTTCTCTTTTTCTTTTAAGTTAGGAGAGGGCAGGAGGGAGAGAAATTAAATTCATAATCAAAAAACAAAATAAAGTGGGGAAAGAAGGGGAAGAAGAAAGAAGAAAAGAGAACTGAGATATTCATTTCTCCTTAGATCAATTGCTTAGTTGTCATTGGGCTTGCTTGCCCTGGTTCCTTTGTATTCCACCAAAATCTATTGTCCCGACAGGCAGAGGTGATCCAGTCCAAGGAAATCTGGATAACTCATCTTCTGGAAATTCTGCACTACATTTTACAAGAAGTTGAACTTAGAAAAAATAACCAAATAGTTAAGTCTGCATTTTCTAAAGACTGCCTGCCATCTCCTTCACTTAAGCAGCCCCTGGAAAGGATGGAAGTCTATGGAGTGTTAAATTGGGAATGCTCAGTCTTCTAATAGTCCTCTAGGGCTCTCAATTCCTGCTGAGGGGCAGATCAAACCGAATTTTAAAATGTTATTAAGAAATACATTGTGAACATGATGGAATTGCCAGTCCAGTGTTCATCTAGGGCCAGAGAAGGAAAGTAAAAGATTGTCACTTCTATGCAGCTACAAGAGTCACAGCCTTATAGGGATAATCCTAACCTACATGAGTCAGTCAACCAGTCAGCAAGCACTTATTAAGTGCTCACTATGTTTCAGGAATTGGTCTAAGCTCTCAGGACACACACAAAAAGGGCAAAAACACAAGACCTGTTCTGATCTCATGTTTGGCTGCTATTAAGTCCTTTTCATCCCATTTCTTCCTCTGCTGGAACACAGCCCATTGCCACATAAGAAGCACCTTATTTCCTCTCTTTGAACCTATATATTTCTCAATTTTCCATTATTCCTCAGCTCTCTCTCTCTCTCTCTCTCTCTCTCTCTCTCTCTCTCTCTCTCTCTCTCTCTCTCTCTCTCTCTCTCTCTCTCTCTCTCTCTCTCTCTCTCTCTCTTTCTGTCTCTCTCTGTTTGTCTGTCTCTGTCCATCTCTGTTTCTATGCCGGTCTGTTTAATCTCTGTTTCTCTGTCTTTCTGTCTCTGTCTGTCTTGTTTTCACCATCACCAGCCTACAAAAATCTTTGTCACTAGACAGCAGTTCTTGGGCAGAATATCAGGGGGAGGGAGGGTGAATAGTAAATGATAGTCAAAATAATCCAGTGCTGACATAGTGACAGTGTAGGATAGTGGATAGAAAACCAGCCATGGAGTCAGTAAAACCTAATTCAAGTCCTTCCCTGAAACTTAATATCTGTGTAACCATAGACACTTCTCAATGACCCTAGACAATTCCCAAAGTCTGTAAATTACATATGAGTTGCTAATCTGCCTAAATGGAGAACACTTCCACCCTTGGATTTCCTTATATTCTGAATGATATCACAGATCCTGACCAGCACCCCTTCAAAATTATGCAAGGCTATCTGAAGAGAGGGAGGCAATAGTTTACTATAACCTACCCTGGACCTAGCTCATCTGGAGTACTATATTCAGTAAAGAATATCACATTTTAAGAAGTACACACACAAGCTCGGAGGAAAAAAAGTTGCCTAGAAAAGAATCACCAGAATGAATGGTTACAGGAATGGGGAATATTCCATCTAAGTACTGCTTAAAGAACTGATGGTGTTTAGCTTGGAGAAGAGAAGGCTTAGGTTCCATGTAAAGAAAACAGTGTTTTCTAACTATTAGAATTATTCAAAAGCAGAATGAGCTGTTTTATGGAGAGGAGAAGGAATGATAGTTTCTTTTGAATTAGACATCTTCAATAGAGACAAAACAAGGGATTCCAGGATTTGGGGCAAACTCAATTGAGTTGGTTGGGAAGCGGGGTGTAGGGAGGGAAAAAGGAAGAATATACTTAGAGAACTCACTTCTTTTCTTCCAATCCCTGTGAAGCAGAGTTGCTGGATGCCTAGGTAAAAACATCCTTTCCTGGTTCCTATTTTCTGATCCCTCATCCTTATTCACCTGACCTTCTCCCTCCTTAGTAGTCTTCATCCTCCTCTAGTCTTTCCTTTCATTGTGCCATCTGGAACTGAGATTCTATCATTATTAAGCTTCCTTATGTCCATTCATTATCCTTTCATCTTCTTGCACTTATGAAGATGACCAAGCTCCATTCCCACTTCTTGCCCCATATTCTTCTCTCCCCTCTGCCTCAAGATACTGTATATAGGGCCACCATCTCCAGTAAGAGGCGCATTTTGTCTTATCTACCCTGACACAAGGGGGCAGAAGGAAGGGAACATACCTTTCTTCCTGATGACTTTCAGACCCTCCTTCTACTGACATTATTCAGCAACTTCTCCTCTGAAATTCCAGCTATCCAAGAATGTTCCAAATAATAACAAAAAATCTGATATATATATATATATATACATGTATATATATATAATGTGTGTATATATATGTATATATGTATATATATATAATGTGTGTGTGTGTGTGTATATATATATATATATATATATATAAATAACTCTTTAAGGTTTGTGAAACACTTTACATACATTGTCTCATTTAATCCTACAGATATTATGCTCTTTTAACAGGTGAGGACCCTGAGGATGAGAAATGTCAAATGAGTTGCCCATGACCACATAGCTAAGTGTCTGAGATGAGATTTGAAGTTGATCTCCCTGATTCTGAGTCTCCTTCCTTTCACATGGCTCACAACTTTCCTCTCCATCCCAAACTCTGCCTTCATAATTGGAGAGTTACAAGAGACGTGCTAATGCTCCCTTTAATAGACCTTGACCTCCAGATGAAACACCCCTTCTTAGCTCACAGGGCATCAGTCCATCCATATTTTCAGTTCTATCCTTCTCTTAAAACTCAGTCTGTGGGCAGCTAGGTGGTGCAGTGGATAGAGTGCCGGCCCTGGAGTCAGGAGGATCTGAGTTCAAATCCAGCCTCAGACACATGACACATACTGGCTGTGTGATCCTGAGCAAGTCACTTAATCCCAATTGCCTCACCAAAAAAAAAAAAAAGATTCAGTCTGCAGGAAAATGAGAAGCTTGGTGGTGCTATTTCCCTCCCTTGCCCTGCCGTTCCTGAGGTATTTTTCTTAATCCCTGGGTCAGAATATGCTTTGAGAGCTCATCATGAGTACAAAACCACTCCCCAGACTACTGCTGGTTCTAAGCTGCTGAGGAGATTTTTTTTCTTTGCCTTTCAATTCAGGCAACACCTGATGGAGACCAATCTTTTCATCTCCCTGAATTGGCCATCCCCTATATCCTGAAGTCCTGTCTCATCACCTTCTTCTCCTGGCTTCTTTTGCCAGTAAACCTCTTTCTGTCACTCTCTCCTCAATACTACATCCCCTCCAAGAGATATGGGATAAGGAACAGTGCAGTAACAGTGAGTTGGAGACAGCCCATCCCTTCCTCTCCAGATCTCCCTCAACCTCTCAGGAGGATGTCAGATGTCGCCTTTTTCCTTATTCTTATGGGGGCAGGGCTAGTAGATGACTATGAGGCCAGGAAAAACAGTCTTTACTACAGTGTAAAGGATGCAAGTATCCCCAGATAAGAAAGGTGCTCCTTTTAAAGGTCTGCACCATGGACAAAGCTCTGGATGTCCTACCCTAGTTGTCATTCCAGTGTTCTAGTATAATCTAGATAACTACTTACTGGGTTGCTGTAGGAGGGATTCTTGGCTAAAAACAGGTTGGATCAAGGTGGCTATTGAGGTCCTTTTCAACTGTTTTGAGTTTTCAAATAGGATTCTCTGATGCTTGTTTATCCATGTAACACACACACACACACACACACACACACATACCTCTACACACCACTCTAGACACATACATAACCTCTACTTTGTCTTTCCTATCTGATTTATCTCCAGGCACTGTCTCCAAATTGAGTTCTGTCCAGTACCCTCAGAATTAGTGTTTGGCTTTACTTCATGACTTTCTTGTTTAGCTGTCTTCTCTGCTTCTTATCCCTTTTATAGGATAAGACCTTCTATTAGGCCCTACCCTTCATGCAGCTGTGATATAATGCATGCCGCAGTGTTTTGGGGGTTGAGATCTGGGCTCTAAGCCCTGGCTCCATCACTTGCTAGTTGTGTGACCTCAGGTATCTTATTTCACCTCACTGTTGATCTTATTTGTGGCATGAAGAGGTTAGACTAAGTGATCTCTAAGTTTCCTGAGTATGTGATTATTCATGTACCAAGTGGGTTGATTATTCATGCACCAGGTGAGGCAGTTAGGTGGCCCAATGGATAGAGTGCAGGGCCTGGAGTCCAGCTGACTTATCTTTCTGAGTTCAAATCCGGCCTCAGACACTTACTAGCTGTGTGACCCTGGGCAAGTCCCTTAACCCTGTTTGCCACATTTCCTTATCTGTAAAATGTGCTAGAGAAGGAAATGGGAAATGTCCCCAGTATCTTTGAAGAGTTGGACACGACTCAAAAAGCAACCCAACAAAGGTGGTTTGAGCCACCCTATGGCTTTTTTCATGAGGATAATCTTGAAACCCCAATTCACAGTTTTCTATTTACCTCATCCTCTTCCTCTTGGGGATAGCCAGCCTGTCATTAGCTTGATCAGTACACTGTCTCCCCGTGAGCTCTAAATTTAACCCATGCCCAAACATCTCCTTTCTCTTTCCCACACATTATTTAGGTCTGCCCTATATCCTTTCTTCCTGCATCAATCCTGGGCAAGAGGAGTTCCCCTCCTATTTTGTCCAGAACATATCCTTTCTCCGGAGCGCTCCCTGGCAAACAGACAGAAGGTGGCACACCGCATCATCTTAGCTCCAGTGTCAGGCAAAGGGGACCAAGCAAACCGCCAGCCTAGGGTGGGCTGCGGCCGGACTTTCACTGTCCTAGCACTCTTGAAGAAAAATAGGAAAACCTGCTCCAGGTTTACTCCATTTCTCCTCATTCCACGGAGTGGAAATTGTAATGTACTGAAGCAAAGAGGAAAGGGGAAAGAGGGAATGGGGGAAGGGGAGAGGTAGTAACATCTTCCCGTAGCATCTGACTACTTTGGCTTCCGAGTACGGGACGGGTTCTGATAGACTTTCATTCTCCGTGGGAATTCAAAGTGACATTACCTTGACACGAGCAAAAGGTGGTTTAGGACTTAACTGAAAAAAATTGGGTCGGGCTCTGGGGTCTTCAGCTTAAGCCACAGAAAGGACCCCAGGAGGTGGGGGCGGACTAAAACAGCAGTGGGGCAGCAGGAACCTGAGTCTGAATATTAAAACGAATAAAAAAGAAAAAAAATGAACCCGGGTAGGT